GAAAATCCGGAAAATGGTGAGAAATCCATCGGGAAAATTGTCGCACAGTTGTGTGAAGTGAAGTTTAGTGTAGTGATGCAGTGAATTTATAAAAAAGTGTGTTTTAGTGCAAGAAATTGTGTTGTCTAAAGGACGGGGGCGCAAAAGAGGCAAAAAGGCGGCAAAAATGTAGCTCGACGAAGGAAAAGTGCGGCAATTCGTGATATATATATATATACTTTTATTTGTGCATAAATTTAAAATGGTTACTATTTCGTTGTTTCCCTTTTTTTTCGTTTTTGCAAAAGTACCCGAATTGAGCGTGGAAAAGAGAGAGCAAATAGAAAGAGGAGCAGATCAAAGAACGCAAGTCAGCTCCGCGTTTCAATCAGGAAAATGGTGAAAAATCCAACTGGAAAAATGTCCCGCAAGTGTGTAGTGAAGTTTGGTGTACAAAAAAAGTGTTTTACTGCTAGAAAATGTGTGTTAAAAAGGCAAAATGAAGACAAAAATGCAGTTCGGCGAAGGAAAAGTGATGCAATGTGTGATATTTTTCTATGTGTTTTATATATTTGATATACATATGTATGTGTAGAAAAACATATAATTTGGCATAAACTAATTTTTTTTAATGTGTAAATATGTTTAATTGTTTCGTTGTCCCGTTATTTTTTTCGTTTCATCGCGTGAGTTCCAGCAATGTGTGTGTGCGTGTGCGTGCTTTCAAATTCGTGAAGTGTTGTCCCTTTCCCACTCCATGGCGTCGAAGTGCAATGAAGAAGAGAATCAAAACGAAATGAGTGCTTTCGTTCCAAGTGAAGTTTATAGCAGGGTAAGGCACTCCCAATGATCTGCTTATCTGGCCCTCTCCTGCTTAGTGCCTCACCTCTTGTGCCTCACCTCATATGCATAAATGAATGCCTAAAATTTGTGCTCTTATTGGAAATCATTTTGTCCCAATCGTTTGCGGCTTCGGTGCGGTTTCTTCGTCGAATTATCGTTCGGCAGAATTGAGAGCATGAGAAAAAGAATAGAAAGATTGTGGGTAAGTGAGTAAAGAGAATGTTTTCCCTAATGTATCACTATGGTGCGACTCGACGTTCTGCTTCTGCTCTGCTTGCGATTTGATGCCAAAATAATACTTTTATGGGGGACCCACATATACCCATGCCCATACTTATTTGTTTTCTGGATTTGACAAGTGAACAAATAATCGCAGATATTGAATGTTTTCATGTCTCGATGCTTGTATAGTTTGTATCTACTATTTTTATACCCGATACTCAGAGCGTAGTGGGGTGTATTGGTATTGGATATGTGGTCCCAGAAGGAAGCGTTTCCAGCCCCAGAAAGCATCAGAATCCACAGCCGAGTCGGTATAGCCCAGTCCGTCTCGATGAGCGCCTAGATCTCAGAGAGCGGGAGTCGGGTACGAATGTAGAGTCTCGGCCGTTTCCCCTCGCTTCAATTTCTGGCCTTCACCCCCACCCCGGCTGCTTGCGGGCCATGTAATTATGTTTTCATTCGGCCATCAATTTTAATAGCGTTACGCTTAGAACAAACTACTTTCGTTTTGTTGAGTCGGCCGTATTTTTTTTTGTTTTGTTGTTGTTTGTTTTGATGGAGTGGCTCTTATAAAGCACTTTTCTTCGGCTCACACTCGCTCACGTACTCTCGAATTTATTTGCACATTGCGTGTGGGAGGAGACACCAACAATCAACAGTCAACAGCGGAGAGCAACAGCCGAGAGCAGTTTGAACGGTGGCTCGGAAGGATGGGCTTTTGGTCGGAAAAAAAGCACCGAAAAAACTGCCCGAAACAGTGTTTCTGTGTCCGAATGTCCGAATGTCTGTTTGTCTTTTTGTCTGTTTGTCTGTTTGTCCGAGTGTCAGAGTCAAGTCCACGTAAATTGTCAATAATGCTGCTGCCGCATTGTTGTTTTCCACTTTGGCTGTGATTTGATTTGCCCTGCCCCTGCCCCTCCTGCCGCCCCGCCCTGCCTCCGTTTATGCGAATAGCTTTTGGCCAAAATGTCACTTTTTTATTGTGTTTTTATGAGCGCAGCGTGTCGTTTGGCTTTTTTTTTTTCGTTGTGTGTCTTTGTGTCGTTTGGCTTCGTTTCGTTTTGGCCAACTTAAACGTGCGTCGCAACTTTCGATTAACGGAAATTATTTCACTACTTTAGTGGCCAAATGTTTGGCTCCATCTCTGCAATGCTCCACCTCTCGTGCCCCGCGTGGAAATTGACTCGGTAGATTTTTGTATTCCCTTGTGCAAAGGGCGGCCCTGCCACCTGCCACCTGCCACCTGCCCTGCCACCTTCCCGTGGCAGATATTTTTCTCTGTTGAACGGCAGCGGTGAGCAGATTTCTAAGCCAACTGTGCGCCGAGCATTTCAATTGCAGCCTTTTGATAAATGGCCAGCCAACTGAGCGCTTTCATTGCTTAAACTACATTTGACGAGCGTCGTCTGCCACCGTCTGCCACCGTCGTCCGCCGCTGCCGTGGGTGAAAATAACCAAAACGGCATTCAGCTTTCGCCCATTCGAAAACCAACGCCACAAAGGCATTCGTCAGCGGCAGGCTGCAGCCTCCACCTCCGCCTCCGCCTCCACCTCCGCCTCCACCTCCGCCTCCACCTCCACCTCCTCCCCCCTTCGCTTTTCAGCGAGTTTCCCCTCAAACGGATTTTCTAGCGCAAGGTCAGAGCACAGTTCTTCAGAGCAGCGACACAGATTACGTGCCTGTCGCAGGGGCAGGCTGCATCTTCAGCTCCATCTTCTGAACGCCTCGAGAGCTGAATAATTTTACGCCTCTGCTAATTTTACTTTCGAACCGAACTCGACTCAAAGTCTGAGTCAGAGCCACGGACGCATGCGTCTCACGTAGCACGTAGCACCGTGGCACGTTCACGTTCACGTTCGAGGCGAAGCTGGCAGCGTGGTCTGTGGTCTGTGAACTTTCGTGAAAGTTCTGCCTCGGCGGCAGACCGTGTATCTGGTGGATACAATCTAAGTAATCTTTTCCCCGTCTAGTTAGCCGAAAACAGTTCCCACATCAACGGCTCGCCCATTGTTCTGGATACGCGCGTAATTATGATGATAAAATAAATTTAAATAAAGCCACAAGAGCGGTGCACAGATTCGTTGGACCGCTTTTGAGGGTGCGAATTGTGACTGGGGGCAACCTTTGGGCAACTGTTCTTACCGCAAGCCTCCAGTGCAGGCAGTGCCCCTAATGGCCGCCGTGTGGCAATAACGTTAATTACAAGTTATTGGCAGGCCACAGCGAAATCTTCGGCGCTTCCTCCTCCTCCTCCTCCTTCTCCTTCTCCTCTTTTATAATTTGTTTATTTTATAACATTTGCAGCTGCTGTGCCCCATGCCCTGCCACATGCCACACACTCATTCATAATGGAGCATTATGAACGCGTTCGCAGTCACATTAAAACAAGCATAACAGCTACGTGACTAATTATTGTGATATCAAACTTGTTCCCCCCAGCCCCCCCAGCCCCACCGGCCCCTCACCGCCCCACCGCCCCACTATATCATTAAAGTCGATTCTCTTCTCTCTGCGTGTGCGAAAGAAAGTGAAATTAATGTGAAGTACGTACGAGCCAGGGCCAGGGCCAGGGCCGGGACCAGGGCTTTTCCGACAAGTTCTTCAAAAAGCACAGAACTTGTTTTGGGCTTAGCGAAAATAAATGGAAAACCTGCACAACGGGCTTATTAGATCAAAGCCAAAGCCGCAGGAAATCCTCTCTCCCAGCTGGGGTTCATTCAACTCTGGCGGATCTGGGTCAACTTCCCCTGAAATTGCATTCCCCAGGCAATATGCCCATCTAATTTTTGGCCATTTTTCCGTTGTCCGTCCGTCTCTCCCTCCCTATTAGCGCCTAGTGCTCAAAGACTACAAGAGCAACGAAATTTTATATCCAGACTTCTGTGATATGTCACTGTTACAAGAATATTTCTTCCGCCCCCACAAAGGGCGAAAATCTGTGGCATCCACAATTTCAAAGATACGAGAAAACAGAAAACGCCGAATCGTAGAGAATGTCTATATCTTCTAAAATGCAAAATCTGAACCAGATCGTATAATTATTATAGCCAGAATCAAGAAAACAATTTCATTCCGTCTCGCTCTGTCTCTCTCTAACACACAGGTCTCAAAATATGAGTTCCTAGATCTCAGAGACTATAAAAGCTAGAGCAACCAAATTTGGTATCTACACTTCTGTGATATCGGACCTCGACGAGGTTGTTTCAAAATTTCTCCACACCCCCCTTCCGCCCCCGCGAAGAACGAAAATCAATCTCAGAGACTTTTAAGGCCTAGAGTAACAAAATTTGGTATCCACACTCCTGTTAGATCTGTATCCCACTATGTATCGGGTATACATGTAGAGTTGCGGTCGCAGCAGCAACTCGCAAAGTTCCCCCTTCCTAGTTTGTCGCTTGGAACGCATTCAAGTTCTTTTTCCTTCGAAAATAGTTGCACGTAATTTGTTACAAGAAAAAACAGAAAACAGAAAACGAAACTCAAATGCGACCGAAAAGACAATAAAAAAGTGAAAAAAAAAACCCAATGCAAATGGGCCTCCCTCCCCCCCTTCCAGTGCATGAGAGAAATGCACAAAACTGAAGGGGGTGGGGTTAGGGGGGGGGGGGGGGGGGGGAGTAGAAACCGAAAGTGCGTAATTAATTTCGCTTTTGATTGCAGGCGAAGGCACTGGTGGGTATCCAAAAACCAAGCCCCTTTCCCGTCGGATTAGAGATAGTTGAACCCCCGCATAGAATTGTGGGGAGGGGGGCGCGGGGGCGCGGGGGGGTTCTGTTTACACAAAATTGTTAAATTAAATAAAAAATCGTATATTTCAAAAGCCTGTCAAAGGCGATTTAAGTCGCAGCGCAAACAGCAGACACAACCACACACACACGGACATCCACACACACACACATACAGAGGCGCGCACACAACAACAAACAAGGGGGGGGGGGGAGGGGGGGCGCAACTGATGTGCGGTTTTGGTTTCGTGGCTTACGGTTTTGATTGCTGCCATCGCTCAATTGATTTTTCACTAAACCCCGAAACCGAAATAAAAGTGAAATGCAAAGTATTAAACAAAAAGAAGAGAAGAGGGGGTGGGGGAGGGGGAGGGGAAAGGGGGAAGAACTTAAACGCCAAAATAAACAATTTGTCATGCGTGTGCCAGTGTGCCAGTGTGTGTCTGTGTGTGTGCCAGTGTGTGTGTGTGTGTGTGTGTGTGAAAGAAAGGAAAGGCTTATGTTTGACATGATATTAAATCGCATCGGAAATGGCAAAATACTGGTATTCCAGGGCGAACAATAAAACTAAAATAGGATTTGCTGCGGTCTGTGCCTAATTTCCGAGTGTGAAATGCCGGGGGCCCCCATTTCGTGGCCCCCCAAGTGAAAATAACAATATCGCTGGCATTCGTTCAACCGAAACTAAGCCATTCTCAGCTGAGTGGAGCCCTAAATGATGCACTGATCATCGAGAAATTGTGCCTGGTAGAAGAGAGGAAAGAGCCCAGGCTAAGACCCACTCAAAGTCGGCAAATCTGAGGATCCAAAGCGGTCTTTTCTTCAAGTAAATTCCAGAGGAAGGCTGGCCAAGTGGAAGCCTAAATGATGTGCCAAAAGAGAGCCACTGATCATCTACAAATCCAGGCTGGAAGCTCCCAGAGAAGAGTCTTTGAGAGCCCCTCAAAGTCGGGCAATCTGAGGATCCAAGGCGGTCTTTTCTTCAAGTAAATTCCAGAGGAAGGCTGGCCAAGTGGAAGCTTAAATGATGTGCCAAAACAGAGCCACTGATCATCTACAAATCCAGGCTGGAAGCTCCCAGAGAAGAGTCTTTGAGAGCCCCTCAAAGTCGGGCAATCTGAGGATCCAAAGCGGTCTTTTCTTCAAGTAAATTCCACTGGAAGACTTGCCAAGTGGAAGCTGAAATGATGTGCCAAAACAGAGCCACTGATCATCTAAAAACTCAGGCTGGAAGCTCCCAGAGAAGAGTCCTTGAGAGCCCCTCAAAGTCTTGAAATCCGCGGATCCATGGCGGTTTCATTCCATCTCTTTACCTTTCTTCAAGCAACTTCCAGTGGAGTGGACACTGGACTAGCAGATGGACTGCTTCCAACTGTTTCCGAAAGTTTCAACAGTTATCACATTTCCAGGCGAAAGTTTTGCGGAGTTTGAGAAAGGACTTAACTTTGTCTGTCTCTGTCTCTGTCTTTACCTCAAATCTGACTCGTTTTTTAGTGGCTGGCCAGGGCCACGCCCACATACTTGCTGTCTGCTACCTGGCCAGCACATAAATGTCAAATGCAGGAGCCGCAATAATTCATGGCCCTGCCCCTCGCCATTGATCAATATCCGGGTGGTATTTGGGGCGGAAAGCTGAGGTCTCCGTTGTCCGTTGTCCGTTGTCCCTGGCGTGCCGGAGAGTGCATGTCCTTGAGGCTGCCACAACAGTCGTGTCCTCGTGATTTTAAAGTCGCCTCCTGTCGGATGGTCATGACTTTTTCTGTTTTCCAATGTCCTCGGGCAACACTCCTCGGGGAACAGAATGTAATTTAAAGCCTTAAATCAGCACTAATGAGGATTTAAGCTGATGCTCCTCCTCCACCTCCTCCTCCCCCACCCCCTCCAAATGAAAGGAAAGCACTTGCTGGGACGGATGCATTATTAATAAACGGCGCTGCACATTGTCTGTGGGCCCCCCCCTCCCCCCAGCGGGTTCGCGGACGGTTCACGGACGTTTCTTGGCTCGATTCGGAGTCCCCCCAGTCCCAGGCGGCGCCCCAAGACGCCCTGCGATGTGTGTCGCTGCTTTTCCGGTGTGAATTTCCTGTTGTTTGCCTCCGCGCTGCCACTGTCGGGGCCGTATTTAATTGGGGACCATGCACCGTGGCCGCCCTTTAGATGGCACGCACTTTGGCCACTTAACAAGTGCACACATGGCTCCAGTTTGGAGCCAACTTTCAGTGGCCTCCATCGCTGCTGCTGCTGCTGCTGTTGATTCCTGCTGATGGCGTTGCCGATGCAGCATTCAATTTGCTTGTTGGAGAGCCCCACAGCCCCCACAGCCCCCACAGCCACCCAGCAGCGCACAAAAGCTCAACTAGCTGCGGAAATTTGCTCAGTTACTTTTGTGCAATCCCCAAATCCCAGTTCAATTTTATCTATGTATCTATCTATCTGAAACTGCTTGGCAAATAGCAAGCTGGTGCCGCAGGAAGCCAGCTCTTCAGCTCTTCAGCTCTTCAGCTCCATCTCTGTTTGTGCTGTGTGTGTGTGTGTGTGTGTGTGTGTGTGTGTGTGGAGGCTGGGGGGAATGCATCGCTCTGCACTGCAAAAAAGGTGCCTCTGTTGGTGGCTGCCTAATATTTTCTCCCACAGAAATCATCTGCTTGTTAAAGAACTAACCACAAAGCTGCTCAAAACTTTACCTTTCACCTTTTCTCGTGCAAACAGAGCCTTGATTGGCCACGCCCCTTGCCATGTGCATATGGTAGGGGGGGGCGGGGGTCGTAGAGGGTCATTCATTCGTGGTGCCTCCTTTTTATTTAAGATGCGTGCCGTGCGGCAACCTCTCAATTAGTAGCAGCACTGCTCCTTGTCTCGGCTTATCACATTTCTTACTCAGCATACCCCCCACAGCCCACCTCCCCCCCTCCCCCCCGGAGACGAGACAAAAAGCGAACATTTCTCGCACAGTTTACGGCAGTGCCTTTGAATTTTTGTTTGTGCTCGGATTGGATTCAACAAGAACTTCTCCAGGGAGCAAGCTTTTATTTCCCAGCATTTCCCCTGCCAGCTTCCCCAGCCTGGCTTCGTCCTGGCGCTGGCAGCCCATATCTCCTGTGGAGTATTTACTGCCTCCCAGCCGGGCTCTCCTAGAAGGCCATCAAGAATGTATTAATAATATCTGATGGAGAGCCTGGGCCGCATGAATATTCGATGGATTCGTAAGCCAATAAAGAGCTTAAGACAGGACATTGCAGGACCCATCCCCCCCCCCCAAAGAGAGACATTTGATTTGTGTTTTGTGTGTCTTTTAATTTAGATTTTCCTGCGATACGTTCGCAAGTTTTTTTGGCACTGTCCGGCGGGCTGGGGGGGGGGCGCCTTGGCATCAACTCAATTATTCCACTTTGGCCTGGGCAGCGAAAAGGATCTGCCAAGAACGGCAAGTCCTTTGTTTCGGTGCATAAACTGCCAAGAAATGTGCAAGCTAATTTCTTAGCTCGGAGTATAATCAAAAAAAAAATGTGTCCCCAAAGGACAAGGACAAGCTGCAAAAGTGCAGATAAATTCGTGCTCGGCCATTCAATGAATCGACAAGAACTTGGCAAACTTTAAGATGCTCGCTGCAGGAGGGTGACGGGGGGAGGGGTGGGGGGAGGGGCGAGGCAAGACAAAATCGAAGCCTGGAAATTTATTTCATTAAAAGATACGCCTGTGTGTGTGTGTGTGTGTGCCGATATTCAGAATATTCAATGAGCAGAACAAGCAAATAAATTTTTTCCGCTTTTTGACCCCCCCCACTCCTCCCCCCACCCAAAAAAAGGCATTCAATCAGTCCAACGACTGAAAAGTCAAATGGCGCGCACAATGGCCAGCAGGCAGCTCCCAGAGGCTCCTCCCAGAGGCACCTCCCAGAGGCTCCTCCCCGCCATGTCCGTTGGGGACATTACACCAAATCGCTCGCCATCAATCAGTGGCAAATTAAATTTCACAGCGCCCGGCACTGCAGGTCCTGGGCCGCCTGCCACGGAGATGTGGATCCCGATGCCGTTGCAATGAGTTTGCCGCCATCCATCTAGGGCTCTATTTGCGCCCCAAGAGCGAACATCTAAATGCCGACGAGTGCGGCTCATTTGGCGACTCGAGATTAATAACTGGTCCCAGTTACCCCCCTGTGCCCCCCTGACCCACCCCCCGTACGCCAGTGGCTGCTGATAGACGAACAAAATTTTTATTGCATACTTTTCGGCATTCAGCGTAATTTCTCACTTCTGCGGCGGACGCTTATGGAGATGGAGATGGAGATGGAGATGGAGATGGGGGCGCCTCAGTTTATGAGGCGACTGTCGCTCGGCTGTGGGCGGGGCACCGGAAGATTTCCCAGGGCAGTGACTGAACGATCTCTCGCTGGGGACAGTGGCCATCCTTAAACAGTTCACCCGAACCCGAAGGGTCGTAAATAAACCTCGCGGCTCCCTCAAGATGATGAATTGTGTGGACGATGGCTCCGCTGGTATCTTGCCAAATTTGTGGACTCACAGCCCCCCACCCCCCCCTTCGAGCCCCGCATGTGGAGTGGCTTTAAGCCATTCGTATTGGTTGATTTCTCAATGATATGCCTGTCGGCTGTCGGCTGTCGTCTGTCGTCGTTTTTGTGCATCTCCCAGGTGTGTGGGGGAGAAAACTTTGGCTACGACAGTATCTGGCAGTCCTGCGTCCTTGTTTCTTTTGGCAGGGCCCAACAATGCACAAACTAAAGAAAAGTTTTCTCCCAGGCAGCAGGCACTGGGCACATGCTCTTCCGAGGCACAGTGCAATAACCGCTCCAAGTCGACACTAAATCAAATGCGGAGGAAGGCAGCTCAATGTCCAGGACTCGGACTGTGCTGCAGTTGCTACGTGAGAGAAAGTTGGGCTCAAAATTTATGCACTCGCCGCATGCCAAGGCGGGAGTGGGCGCCAGGCTAAGAGCGGGGCACGGGGTCGAGCGGAAGTTTTGTGGCCCATAATGGCTCAAATCTGAATTATGCGGCAAAGAAAACGGAGCCCAGGGAGGAGCTGCCCTGCCAAGACGGGGAATGCCATGGGAATGACATGCGGACATCCGACATAGGTCAGAAATTCAGAAATCAGCATGCTAAGCACTTTGGCAGTGACTTGAACTCGGTCTGCCCTCCAGCCCCCCCTCCCCCCCCACTGTATCAATTATGTAAATGGAAAATTTAACACCTCAGCAACGTGCCACATACGAGTGGGGCAGGGGCAGGTGCAGGGGCCGGGGACTGCGGCTGGGGCCATAAATCTTCAACGAAGTGAGTGCAGCGCCTTGCTGGGGGCCGCAGGGGCTGCAGGGGCTGGCCGGATATCAAGGCAAAGTGAATTTTTCCGTCAAACATAAAAGCAAAGTTCGCGCCGGCAATTAAACCGTAGAAGTAGCCTTAGAAGTAGCCGTAGCCGTAGTCGTAGACGTAGCTGAAGCCGTAGTCATAGCCGTAGTCGTAGTTGTAGCCGTAGCCGTAGTCGTAGACGTAGACGTAGCTGAAGCTGTAGTCATAGCCGTAGTCGTAGCCGTAGTTGTAGCCGTAGCCGTAGACGTAGACGTAGCTGAAGCCGTAGTCATAGCCGTAGTCGTAGCCGTAGTCGTAGCCGTAGCCGTAGACGTAGCCGTAGCCGTAGTCGTCGCCGTAGTCGTCGCCGTAGCCGTAGCCGTAGCCGTAGCCGTAGCCGTAGTCATAGCAGTAGCCATAGTCGTAGCTGTAGACGTAGCCGTAGACGTAGCCGTAGACGTAGCCATAGACGTAGACGTAGCCGTAGCTGAAGCCGTAGTCATACCCGTAGTCGTAGCCGTAGCCGTAGCCGTAGACGTAGCCGTAGTCGTAGCCGTAGTCGTAGCCGAAGTCGTAGCCGTAGCCGTAGACGTAGCCGTAGTCGTAGACGTAGACGTAGACCAAACCGTAGCCCAGGAGGCGCATGTAAAACTGCAGTATCTATGAGAGGAGTTCTCCGTATCCTGGAGGATGATTAAAGCGATGAAGGAGACGGGGGATGGGTGGACGGGCGAGGCGATTCCGAAAATGAAACACAAACGGCCGGCGGGCAATTAATTTAAATGTAAAAACGATGCAAAAATGCCCGGTTCGTAATATTTTTTCATAATTCTTTGTCGCTTTGCTTGCATAAGCATTTGTTTTATACTCTCTCTCTCTGCCCCGTCTCTCTCTGCCACACACACAGTCCTTGCCACATGCAATGTCCGTCAGCTGGTGCTTCAGCTGCAGGTCCTTTCCTTTGCCTGAGCTCCTTTTGCTGAGCACAGCACAAAATGCCTTCGCTTATAATATTAAAATGGCCGGAAGCGGAAATTCAAAGCGTATCAGTACATATGCACGTGTTTCTGTGTGTGTGTGTGTGTGTGTGTGTGTGTGTGATGCATGCCACCCTTTGGAGTCCGGGCCCTGAATGCAGGCATTGTTTATTTGGCTGGCAACAAATTATAAGTACAGCATGTCGAAGGCTTCCTGGCAGCTTGTTTGCATAACAAGCACGTGCCGGCAGGCGAGGACGAGGACGCGGAGGAGGAGGCGGATGACCCCAGAGGACTGGCAGTTCAACGACTCCGAATTGGTCAGCCAGACGGCGGAAGCACATGTATCGCTGGTGGCCAGTCCCCCGGTGGCAAGCCAAGGTCGTCCCCAAGGACACTGCACCCAGGAGACGCTCATTAGTTTTACCGATCCTATGCGAGGCACCATTAAAATTAATGATTCCACTCGCACAGAATGAGTATCTGTAGGTGGACGGGGCCCAGCCTTGAGCAGGGGGCATCTGGGGTGGCCCCAGGCTGGCCGGATCGGATCGGATCTCCATCTCTTCATCCCCCAGTTTGTTAATCCGTTTCTCATAAACAACAAATTATTCGTATTAAATTTGCAGCTTTTTAGGCAAACAAATTGTGCTGCCTTCTCGCTCGCTCCGCTCTGCTCTGCTCTGTGGCCGTCTCTTTCGCTCTGCTCTGCTCTGCTCTGTAGCCATCTCTTTCGCTCTTTCGCTAAAATAATAAAGTGCATGTACATTATGCCACTCAGAGCCGTTTGTATGCGGGTAACTTTTTTAATTATGCCAAGAACATAAAATTATATTTATACTTGCACTTTTTGCCCGGCCTTCGTCTAAGTGTGGAGGCAAGGGGGGCGGCCAGAGGGCCGGCAAGGGCGAGTGAAATACAGCATGAACGTGATGATGCACTCCTAGCCGAGAGTCGAGCGCCCAGCAGCCATTGATGATAACTTTTTTCAGCACTTGCACTCAATACACAAATGTGCTATAAAATATGTGGAAAAAATACTTCTTCTGCAGCTGGAGAGTGGAGAGTGGGGCCTGGGCCTGGGCATGGGCATGGGGCAGCAACGTAAATGGCTTTTGGCTTTATTTTATGGCGTTTCTGTGCCTGTGCCTTCAGCTCCTTCTCCAGCTGCTCCCCCTCGGAATGCTCATCAATTATGCTTATCAAAACACTGAAGGGCTAAAGTTTTGCTGACCAACTGCTGCCCAACCTCGGACCCCACCAATGACCCAACAACAACTGCAAGTGATTTGAGTGCACTCGACGGGTAATAAATATCAAGTGCTAAACACGAGATACGCGCAAAAACTCTTGCCACATTGTAGCCGGGAAATATTGCAAAAGCTTTTAAAAAATTGCACGGCAGAGGGGCAGACACAGATACAGATACAGATACAGATGCATGGGGCATGGGGGCATGGGGCATGGGCTGATTGTTAAGGTACCCCCTCCCCCCTCGGTGCTTTCCAATCAATTACAACGACTGCAGTGGCAGTGACACGCCCGTGCGGCACGGATTTACACAAATGCACAATAATTTCTAACATCAGCGGGGAAACATGACAGGTTAATGCCTGACGTTGGATTGCACCTGTGACCACGGAGCGTATGCGCAATTTGAATGATTGTTTTCGCGTTCAACGGCAGCGTGGGGCCAACGGGGGGGGCCAAGGGGGTGCCAAGTGTGTTGATTACAGTTATTGCAAGTTATTTTCAAATTTATTGTCTGCCCATTCGTCCTTTCAACTGTGATTGATGTGGCTCTGGCTCTGGCTCTGGCGTTGCCTTCACCTCCTAATGAATGAGAATTCAAACAGAGAATACGATGGAAGATGCATCTGTTTCGCTACTAACTTTGCGGAGGATACGCTTAATGATCCACAGAGCAACAGAGAATAAAACTGCTGCCCCTTCAAACCATTCATTGGGCTGCCAAGGCCATGAAAGTTCCCTCTGTCCTGTAGGTCCTGGCCTTCTGTGGCCACCAAAAAAGGCTATAAACAGAATCATACGTGTGCCTGTTGGCCAGGACTCCGGCCCCTGGTAATGCCATTCTAGTTAATCCATTGGAAAATCCGATTATTTACCATAATTTGATGTCACGGCGATGAGCTTTTAAGCAAACAGGCGGCCAAAAAGCTCACCGTGTGTGTGTGTGTGTGACCTTAGACCTTTGCATTGCAGAGTCCTGAGTGGGGGAGGGGGGCGGCAAAACTTTGTAATCAAAACGCCAGATCGAAAATAAAAATGGCAAAGTTTTCAATCTCTCAAACGTCGAAGTATTTCGACACACTCGACACGGGGCCGTCAACAGCCAATTGTGGCCAGGAAAGGAAAGTTTTCCCACCCCCCTACCCCCACCAGTGTGGAGTGTGTGCACACTATAATTTCTTGCTGAAATTTCTCGATTACTTTTGAGCCTGCCCCCGGCCCACGGCCCCCGCCGGTCGGGGGGTTCATTTGATTTGCCGAAAACTTTGGTGGCCACAAAAGTTTGCTTCTTGGCAAAAAGCGGCAGCGTTCAATGCATTTGATTTTGGGCCAAGTTTCGAGAGTGTGGAGGCAGAAAAATAATTGGCGGCGCGCCTTGCAACCAGCAGGACCCCAGGACCTCCCACCAAAAACAACAAAGCCTTTTAGTTATTATTTAAATTACATTTATTTTCTTTTGATAATCACTTGATTTATTCGAATGCTTTCGGTTTTTGTTGTTTGCCATTTTTCCATTTTCTGTTGTTTCTCATTCTTTGTATCTTTGTATCTTTTTTTTGGTTTTTGTTTTCGGTTATTAATATATGTTTTATTAATATTAAATTCATATTCATCAAATTGTAATTTTATTTGAATCTTTTGTGAAATTGTATCTATTTATCCGTCTTATCGAGAGTACAATATCTATAATGATTTTTGTTGTGTGTTGTTGTTGCTGCCGCCATATGTGGGTTTTAATTAATTATCGTTTTGGCCTTTGTTGGCCCATTCACAATAAAAGTATTATTATTATTATTAATATTAATCAAAAGATATTTACAGTGGACAAAATGCTCAACAGTGGAATGAATAATTCAGGAATTTAATTCAATTAAATCCAATCCAATTCAATCCAATAAAATGATGTGGTCTTTGAGGGGGCACAGGCAAGCACACACACACACAAGGAGTCTGTGGCATGTATCTGAATATCTTCCAAGCTACTTTACGCTAAGAAATCTATTCAAACTTCAATTAGTATCTCCTAACAGGTTAATCTTTTGTAAATTACGTACACTGACACTGAACGAATGTTGGTTATGTTTTTTTGGTTAAGTCGGATTGCCGATATATATCGTGTGGACAGTCGAGAGGTGGTTAGGGGGGTGGGGGGGACTGTACTATCCATGAGTTCTTGCCCCCTCCTTGGCCCACCAAACTCCAATTTTTTTTTTCTGATTTTCAGTCCTGCCTTTTGGTTTTTCCTGTTTTTTATGTACACAATTTAATATGGCTGTGTGTCCTGGCGTCCTGGTGTGCCTTTTGCTCTGGAATTTATTTACAAACTTAATAACACAATTATTTATTGCAGATTGTTGATGCTGATGTCTTCCCTCCGGGCTGGACGTGCCCCCTGCCCTCTTGTTCAATTAGTAACATTTATAATGGCGTTTTAATGTCTACGCATACACAGATACACAGATACATGGATACATATGTGTATGCCTTGCTTTGAATGGACTGAAATTGTCTACTTATGCAAATTTTCGTTACCATACGAGAGGGTGATGCCGATCCGGACTCGCACAGAGGAAGGGGACGGTGCTGGGGGGATGGGGGGATGGGGGTGGGTGGAACCTAATCATATATCAAAATTCGTCAACATACTGTACACAATCAACGGGGAAGTGAGTTTATCAACTAAACTAGGGCTTATCTAAACGCTCCTGGGCTGTCCAAGCGAGTCCGGCTAAATGCAGCTCGTCTGTGATTGGTTTTTGCATGATTTTTACACTTGATTGCCCCGCCCTCGGGGGCGCTTCAGTTGCTTAAGTTAGCAATTATTCTAGCTTTGGTTGTTGCCTTCTTTGGGTTTCCTTTCTAACACTGAAATAGCTTAAATAGGATGTTTTGCGAGCCCTCCGCCCCGTATCCACCGCCCTGGGAGGCGCTTAGGTCAGGAAGATGCGTCTGTGGCAGAAACAGGATGGAAAAAAGTTGCAATTGGTGACTCGTTGGGCAAGCTGTGCACTCACCTCACAACAACAGTGTTCAGCAGAAGGCAGGGCGCCAGCATCGACCTAAATATGTGCGCCAGGCGATCCGCCGAGGAGGTCTTCCGCCTGGAGATGGCCGCCATATTGTCGCCTGCAAGTGACAGCCGGGCAACCAGGAGATGGGATTAGATTCGGGGCAGGATTGGCATGATTATCATATTAATAAGCTGCAGGCATCGGTGCAATTTGCATAATTTCAGACTCCCTCCGACCCTCACCTTTCGAGACGAAGACGTAGATGCTAGCCGGCTCCGTGTTGCTGGCCGAGCACGTGTAGTTGCCCGAGTCGGTGACCTGGGGCTCGCGGATGATCAGCCGGCTCTGGGTGCGCGGCCCCGGTGTGGTCTCTATGGAGATGTCCCGCCTGGCGTCGTAGTAGTTGATGAGCCGATCGTTCTTCTGCCAGTACACGTACTGCGGTGGTGTGGGGCTCTGCGGGGAGAGGGGGAGGGGACAGGTGAGCTCCTCGCGGGGCACTCCCAGCTGGGTCTGCGTCTTACCTTCTCAATAATGCAAACCAAATTGATTGTAGAGCCCATGTCGACGTGCAGCTCGCCGGAGCCGAGGATGAAGGCCTCCGGCACGACCACTTGGAGATTCACAAAGTGCGAAATGATGCCAGTCGGTGTCGAGACCTGTGTTTTATGGAGAGAAAGTAGAAAGCAGAGACCCACTGCGATTGGTATTTGTAATCAACTCCGGTCTTAATGCCCCAGTGAGCTCCGAGCTCCGAGCTCCTAGCTCCCTGCTCCTTGCTCCGTGGAGGAGCAGAAATGTTGCACTCATTGAAATGCAAATCAAACAATTTCAATTTGGCACGCAAAAATGAAACAAAAACGAACGTTTTCTCTATAAGTGGTCCTTGGGATGTGCTCCGGGAGCGGAGCTCCTATCCGAAATATCCGGCAGGCGGCAAACGCTACAGCTCCGGATATGCTACTGCTTGGAGTAGGAAAAATAATCATTTTGGCATATTTGCATGCAGCTCTCGCTTGCCCCCACTCCGGCTCCACCCCACTCCGGCGAGGACATTGCCGGGTTGCCCCCTGGCTGACTCTCTGACTCTGTGACTCTCTGACTCTCTGGCCCTGGCATGCGGCTTCTCTTCTCATATTGAAATTGCATGCAAACAATTTTGAAATTGAAGCTACGTTTCCGAAACTGGTTCTCCATCCCCATCCCCATCCCCATCCCCATCCCCATCCACATCCTTGGCGCTTATGCCGTCTATCCATCTAGTCAAAGCAGCCCGAGTGGCACTTGTGCTGCTGCACAAACAGAGTTACTGTCAAGTGTCCATTTCAGCAGTCTGTAACTTTGTTGCTTAACCCCCCCCCCCCCCCCCCCCTAAGCTGCTTTCGTTTTGTCTGCTTTCTCTGCTTTCTCTCTGTGGCCGGGGACACGCCCTTTCCATATTTGCATTCGCATGACTTTGGGGTTTACTTCGAGGACTGCCAGTAACATTTTCTGTGGCCAAAATTTGCTGGCCGTGTCGTCCAGGGCCTGCCTGCCAGTCACATGGCCAGGATGTCCTTCGGGGGGAGCTTCATTTGCATTTTACAATTAAATCATGCACATGCGAGTAAATCGACGTGACGTGAAATCAGCGAATGCCATTGAGCCCCAAAAAAAAACCCAAAAAACCGAAAAACCTCAATATTGCGTATACGCACAGATAGCCAAAGAGAGCTTATGTAAATGCACTTTGGTTTATTTTCAACTCTTTCGTATGCATAATATATGGAGCCCCCCTGCCCTGCCCTCCCTTGTGCCACGCCCACTCACCTGACACTCGTACATGCCGTGATCCCGCCGCTGCACAAACTTTATCTGCAGCGTCCACATGTTGGAGCCGGGCGTGTGGAGTATCGCGAAGCGCTCGTCGTTGGTGTACAGCTGGGCCCCCGACGAGAGGATGTGCCAGTCCCGGCGACGGATCCAAGAGATCTGGTTCTGTACGGGGCGGGGGAGGGGAGACACAACAAAATTGATAACTAGGCATTACGCTCCCCTCAGGGGCTGGGGGGGGGGGGGGGGGGGATACATGTACGTGCAATTTAATGGGAGTTTGATGGAGCTGGAGGCCCGATAACAGCCACATTTCATGGGCAATTCATAATCGCAGTGCGGGCTAATTAATTGATATTTTTTCCCGGCGCTCCTTGCGTGTCCTTTGTGCGGCCTAATTGGCTGTTAACCCAGCGGAATGTCAAACAATGCCTCACCGAAATTGTCATCCTGCCAAACGTTTGCTTTCAGCCACAAATAAAGCGCTTGCGGGGAGGGGGAGGGGCGGCTGTGCTTAACAAATTAGACTTTTGCGTGCAAAAAAGCAAAATGAAATGGGAAACGAAAGCGAAAACGTACAGCAGGATGGGGAAGGGGATGGGGAAGGACGAGGACTGACAATGGGAAAATGAGCGGAAAATGCAAATAGTAAAGCATCTAAAATTGCAGCTGCAGATCCGTATCTATCTCTATCTTTGTGCCGTGCCATGGAGGGCTTCAATAAACAAAACGCTATATGCACGGCATGCAGGGGGGGACGGGGAGGAGGGTAGGTACAATTAGAGAGACAAAAACAAACCCAATTTACACCCACTCTATCCACGCCGGAGACCTTGCAGACGAGAAAGGCGGTGCCACCCAGCTGGACGGTGGTGTTGTGCGCCATCAGCTGTTGGAGAGAGGGAGAGAGGGAGAGAGAGCATACACAAGACAAAAAGTTAAAAGTTCATTTTTTATGGCCCCAAGTCGTACAATTAGTCAGCAAAACAGAGACAGAGACAGAGCCAGAGACAGAGAGACAATACATCAGAGTGGGACGGAAGGGCTCTGGCTGTGGGTCTGGCTCTGGCTCTGACTCTGTGGTGGGCCTGCCATTTGGATAATTAGATTCGAAGCCAGTGCGAATGAATTATAAATAAGCAGTAAAGATTAATTAGTGCCGGCCAGATCCGAATCGGACTCGTCCTCATGCCTGCTGGTAATTAGTGTTATCCCGATGCACTGCCACTGACACTGCCACTGGCTCTGGCTCTGTCACTGGCTCTGCCACTGGCTCTGTCACTGGCACGGACTGTCCGTCTTCATTCTGCCAAATTAACATATTGATGGAGGAGAATGGGGCCCGTGCTGTGCTGACAGGACAATCGGCCGGCACGTAGCATCTGTGTTTGCACTCCATTCAATTCGAATTTGAATTCAAAGAACTTTGCTGCATTGCACTTGGATTGGGGATTTGGAATTGGGGGGAAACTTACCTCGCTGTCCTCGAACATGGGACTGTCGCTGGAGTCGAGACTGTTGTCCAATTTCGAGTCGCCGCTTATGCCGCCGCGCATCCATAGCTTCTTCCAGTCGTTGTCTGTGAGCACGGACTTTTGATCTGCAATCAAAGAAGGAGGAGCAGTCGAGAGCGTAAGACAGGCTGGACAGGCCCCAACTCTGACCCCAATCGAAGCCTGTTGATGGCGGAGGGGGGGGAATGCTGAATCGACATTGGTGGCCTATCGATTTCCCAGACACTCAGACTTGATGAAACACTCGCTGGGTGTCACGCCATAGCCTCATGGCGGACAGGTTACCGGCTTAGCTTGCGCCAGGGAATCATCGCTTCTTTGGAGTCTTAAAACCGTTTAGAAGAGTGTCTCTTGGCAGCCTTAAAGCCAACTATTTTATGGCCACAGGTCCATGTTTCAAAAGTAATTAAAATAAGTTGAAAAGGCACTGCTCTGCCTGGCCAAAAGCAAACAATTTGGCAGGTCCTCTGACAGTACTTGGGCCTTCACTTTCTCCACTTCACTCCCCCCCCCCCAGCCAGTGTGTACTTTAATTAGGAAAACTTTAATTGGCCAAGTGCTCATTGCTCGAGCCCCTGGACCATCCATCCATCCATCTATCTGTTATTAACCTGGAGCGCTGGAGTGTGGCTGTGTGGAGGGGAATTTACTCAATCAATCAGGCGGACATAATGCCGTAACATTCCGTGGAATGGTCCACCTTGGCCATGGATTTGGGCAAACACACACACACACACACACAACACTCGCTGGCGGCTATAAAACACAGCGAAGCGAGCTCACAGTTTTATTGCCTCGTAAATTTTTATAGTTCATACTTTAGGCAGTGCCACAGTGCCACAGTGCCACAGTGCCACAGCGTTGCCTCTCTGTGTGTGTGTATCTGTGTGGGTGTTGATGCCGTGACGTCACGAAGCTGCATTGATTCAAAATTTGTGTTTTTCGGGCAGTATCTGCCTTTAACAAAGAAAACGCCAAATGCCTAGACAAAGGAGACGCCCAGCATGTATCTTTATGTATGTATATATGTATCTTTATCTTATGAGTGCCTGCCAGGCATACAAATGCAAAGAGCCAGAGCCAGAGTGGAAATGTATTGCTCAGACCAAGGCCCATACGCAAAGCCAACGAACGCAAAGGTCAAGTGGGGCGGTGGGGCGGTGGGGCGGTGCGGTGCGGAGCTCGATAATAGTGAAAAAACACGCACTGCTAATAAAATGGCTAAAGCCGCGTATTTCAACGCATCCTGTTTGGCTCTCCGACTCCGTCTCCGCCTCCGACTCCCGGGCCGACTGTGGCCCTACGTGCGCATGTCAGCTGCCTGCGGCTTAGGCGTGTGAATTATATTATGCCTGAAAGTAGGCAACAGGAATAAAACTTGCGCAAGAAGCGATAGAAAAAGGCAGTCCCGGCCCCCAACCGCCCCCCCCCCCCCCCCCCCCCCCCCCCCCCTCAGACCAGGAAGCAGCCCCACCAGCAGCCATACACAAGTTTTCGTTTCGTTCTTCGCATTTTTCATCCGCCCCCCCCAACACCGGGGGTGGGCGGAGGAGGGGGCGTGGGCCCAGCCTTCACTAAAAAGCGATAAATAATGAAGTCAGCAAGTGCGGCTGGCATGCTCGCATGTTTATTATTAATAATAAATATTTCTTGTCAATCTCCAGGCCCCCCCCCCCTTGGACCGTTTAAGCCGCATGGCGCAGAGTCACGACACATTGGCCATTGTCCTTGTTGCTGTTGTTGCTGTTGTTGTTGTAGTTGTGCGCACTTGTCATGTTTCAAATTATTATTTATCTGTCGCTGTCGCCCTGCCTCCCTGCCTCCCTGTCCCTCCTGTCCCCCTGCCACCCTGTCTATCTCCGTCTTTGTCTTTATGCCGGCGTGTGTCTAATACTTTAATGCCTCGCACTGTGTGTGTGTGTGCGAGTCCTAAGCCCGAAAGCCTCTTAAGGCGTCGCTCTTCGCCCGCCTGGCCCGCAAGTACTTGGCACTTTTTAAGCCGCGTGGCTCCGCAAGCCAAAGATCGCACTCATATGCGCCATGAGCTTAATTTTAAAACCGCTAAGCAAATTTGCCAAATAGCTGCCACGGCGAGTGCGTGTGTGCTGCCCCTTGCTGCGACCTTGTGGCACAGACACAGAGCGCATGTGAGACACCTCTTCTGGCTAAGCTCTTGGCATTGGCTGTGAAAATTAAGGGTGCCTCGGAGGCCGCTATAAAGAATCAAAAGTGAGCGTGATTTTCAGGAAAAAACTTCCTCCTCGATTGGAGGCGCCTCGTCACTCCAGCCTCAAAGTTTAGGCCTTGGCCTGCTCTAGGCGTCGCAATAAATTTTCAATTTTTGCCTTGTCACGCGACCTGCCCCTCTCTGACCCCCTCTGTCCCTCTCTGACCACCTCTGACCCCCTCTGTCCCTCTCTGGAGGCTGCGTAATGAGTGGACCGCGCGTTTCGATAAGGTGTCCCCTCGTTTGGTGGCGCATAATTTATGCGTAACGCGTTCGAACGGCGGAACAACAAACGGGAAACACCGCCACCGCCTCGCAGTTTCAGGTCAAAAGCAAAGCCACGAGGCGTCAACAAGGTGGGTCGCGGTCCCGGCCGCGGTCGCGGTCGCCCTCAACGCTAATCTCTCCCCTGTGTATTTTTCATTATCCTTATTATTTGTGAATGTTACGTGTTGGCCATAACTTAGACGGTCTAACGATGCGTATACGTGACGCACACGCACACAGACAGGCAGCGAGGAGGCGAGAGGGCCCGGTCCTTGGGTGTGGCACGCTTTTAGGCGCCCATTTAAAGTAAAGTTCAAATGGAAAATTAATTATTTTGTTTGCCCAGCAATCGCCACAAAAGATTTCAATTGCTTAGCTGCATTCCGCCCCCCCCCCCCTCGGCTCCCATGCAGGCACTGTGGCACATTTTCCAGCGTCTTCGGCAGCGCCGCAGGACGTTTGGAGGTGGTGGGGGGGGGCGGCAAATTCCTAGCATAATAAATCCGTAAATTGGCAAAGTTTCCCGCCCGACTTTTATTCCGCGTTAAGGGGCTTTAATTGTAGCTGGCCTAGGGCAGGGGGGGGTGTGCGGGGCTTGTAGCGATTTGTTGGCTTTGCGTAAATATTCAAATAAACTGCTGCATACTAGAGGAGGAGGGGGGGAGGCGCATAAATTTGGTTTTAATTTACTTAGCACTCGACTAAGCCTCTCGCCAGGCCCTCCAGCGGCCCAGGAATAGCCCTAATTAAATTCGTTGCTGGACCAAGTACGCACCTGGCTCGAGGGTTGTGGCCAGCAGCAGGGTCGGCAGGCAGAGCAGAAGGATGCGCAGCTCCATCAGATGCATGGGCCGCCGCAGACGGAGCAGCAGCCGTGGCGGCAACATTGGATCGCCTCGATTTGCTGCTCTTCGGTTCGCTTCGGTTTGGTTTGGTTCGGCTTGGTTTCTCTTCTTTTCTGTTCCGTTCTGTTTGTTTGCCTAGAGCCGACGTTGGGGCTGGCACATTGACGGCGGGCGGCTGCTTATTAGGGCTAATGGCTTTTTGAATGAACGCGCAGAATCCTTTCAGCTCCCTCAGCAGCACAATGGCCGGCAGTAGCTCCGGCGCACATATGCCCCCCTGATGGATGATGCTCTGGCAATGTGCAGCGTTGCCTTTTTTGTTGTCTGTTGTCCTGCGTGCAACAAAGCAACACGTCGCCAATTTGCAGCCTTCTTGTTGGTTTCTTTCTTCCTTTCTTCTCTAGGAGTTGCATGGAGGCGTCGAAACATGCTCCATCTCCATCATTTTTCATGTCACTGCGCGTTAGCACAGTATCTGTATCTGTATCTGTGCTTGTATCTGTATCTGTATCTGTATCTTGTGTAGCCAGCAAAAAATTAACACTCGCTTTTTATGTAATTCACATTCAATTTGCTGCTGTAGTGGCTGCTCTTCCGGTGGCAGGGGCAATGATGAATCGTTTCTAGTGGAATGTCCTTCGAGAGCAGCAGCGTCCTTCAGTGTCCTTTCTGGAAAGCACAAAACAAAAATGAGGAAAATGCATAAGTATTCAGGCTTCGAAACTTGAAGAAAGATCTTTTCCCTGGAAACAGTAATTAAAATAGAAATTGCCTTCGCACAGCCTGCGAGGGAATCCTCTTGATTTGCATACGGAATAAAATGCCAAATTTGCCACATTATTTATAGGTCCACCGACCACCCCCCACCGCCCACCACCCACCGGACACCACTCAGGCGGGGCTCTGCGCTCCTGGCGGGGGGGAGGCCGGCATTTCCCAAAAATTTGTATTTATTTCCGTGCACGCGTGAGTGAGTTTATCCACATTTTTATACTCTCTGCCGAGCCCATAAAAGCGGAAAGCACTCGTACTCGCACTGGAGACTTGGTCAAACTTTGGCACGAGCCATAATGTTGATCTTTGTTTTTTATTCCACAAGTTTTTTTATGCCCGCGTATTGGGGTATATTAGATTTGTGGTGAAAATGGATGTGTGTAACGTCCCGAAGGAAACGTTTCCGACCCCATAATAGCCCCAATAGCCGAGTCGATTGAGCCCTATCTGTCTGTCCCTCCCTATCAGCGCCTAGTGCTCAAAGACTACAAGAGCTAGAGCAACGACATTTTATATCCGGACATCCGGACTTCTGTGATATGTCACTGTTAGAAGTATATTTCAAAGCTTTGCCCCGTCCACTTCCGCCCCCACAAAGGGCGAAGATCTGTGGCATCCACAAATTCAAAGATACGAGAAAACAGAAAACGCCGAATCGTAGAGAATGTCTATGTCTTCTAGAGTGTAAAATCTGAACGAGATCATGTAATTATTATAGCCAGAATCAAGAAAACAATTTCATTCCTTCTCGCTCTGTCTCTCTCTAACACACAGGTCTCAAAATATGAGTTCCTAGATCTCAGAGACTATAAGAGCTAGAGCAACCAAATTTGGTATCCACACTCCTGTGATATCGGACCTCGACGAGTTTGTTTCCAAATTTCGCCACACCCCCTTCCGCCCCCGCAAAGGACGAAAATCAATCTCAAAGACTATTAAGGCCTAGAGTAAGCAAATTTGTTATCCACACTCCTCTGACTATGTATCGGGTATAAATGTAGAATTGCGGTCGCAGCAGCAACTCACAATGTTCCCCCTCGTTTTGATCTTTGTTTTTTTATTCCACAAGTTTTTCGTTTTTATACTTATTTTGGAGACGCGGCTGAAGAGCAGCTCTTCAATTTTGGCGTTGTGCACATAAATTAAAATTGAAATTCAGCCGCGAAAATTCGGCCCAAAGTGTTTGCTCATTTTCGGGGCTATGCGCTTACCGATTTACTAATTTTCCGCACTTTCCCGTGGTGTGTTATTTAATTAACGGCTCGCTCTCTCCGATGGACGGACATTAGCAAATGTCAGGCGGCCAGAATTTATGGCACACTCGTGTACAATTCATTTAAATTGATAATACCAGCCGTGGGGGGGCCACAGCCACACCCACACACACACACACACACACACACACACACACACACACATATAAATGTATGTATATAGCAGTATATATGTATGTAAGCAGCAGTTTAGAGTAATTCGCCGAGTAAATGTCATGCCAGAGGAGGAATAGAGGAATGCTTGTTTATGTATGTATCTAAGTATCTCAATGTGTGAGTGCTGCCCAACACAACTATGCACTTAAATGCAGTCACGTACACACACACACACACACACAGAGACGTACATATTATTATCTTGACACAATGGTGCCATAAAACTTAAAGACCCCCACAGCAGTTTTCCCTTTTTGCTGGGGCCAGGCACTGAAGGACATAGCATTTGCCATTGCCTTTGCCTTCCTCTGGCTCTGGCTCTGGCTCTGACTCTCCTTTCATTCCACTCGCACTGCATATGCGCATTTGTTTGCATTTTGCACACACACCAAGTCCTCCCCCCTCCTCCCCCGGCTCGCTCTTTCTTTCCTCGGGCGTTTTGGAGGTTATATGGAAATTGTAATAAGTCGAAAACCAAAAAGCTGATGTCATGAGGTTAGTTGCTGTGTGGCTCAAGTTTCAAGCGACAATCATGTGCTTTTCTTTTGTGCTTTCCTCTGACCTCATACTTCATTTTGTAGCTTTTGTTTAGCTCTGGGGGCTGTGGCTCTGGCTCTGGCTCTGGCTCTGGCCATGCCTCTGCTGCATAATGCACTCCAATGTTGTTGCTGTCGGAAATGTAACGGCATGCCAAACCTCCGAGTGGGCCACAGATGCCCAAGGAAGCATGTGCAAGGATCGTGCATTACTGTCGACTGTAATTGCCAGCGCTGGTATATTATTTAGATGTTTATTCGGGGATTCGGGGACCCCACGGCGTATGATTGATGTGATGGACTGCCAGCACACCGGGGGGTTGCCGCTGCAATCTCCTGCTGCGGCGGCCAGCAGCTGCACTTCACCGAAAATCAATTTTCTGCGACCTTTTAATTGTCATTTCGAAATTATCGCAATTACATTGGCCTGCCGCGTGATTAGCCCTGCAGGCGGGGCGGGGCGGGGCGGGGCAGCAAGGCGTAACAATGTCCATTCTGTGGCCAGCATTGCGGCCGGGCGGATTCTTCACGGATCCGAATGGGGCGGCAATGGCGCGTAACGCATTTTCGATTGCCATTTCACTTGAGTGCCAGCATAAAAATGCGCATTATATAAATTTACCCCCTTAAGTGCCCCCTTACCCCCCCGTACCCCCCCGTACTCGTGAGCTGGGGCCATCCGTATGTATCTGTGGCCATTCTGCATGTGCGTGTGCTCTCTGCTGTTCGGGTAATTGTTTTGCGCACATTTCCGTTTCCGTTTCCGCTGCACTGCACTTGAATGGCTTTAATTTTCAGCATTTTTATTTACAGCCTCCTGCGGCCTTAATAATTGACCAATTTGATGCGGCCTGCATCAAAATTTCCATCAATTTTAAATGCATTCACGTATTTGTCGATTACACTGTGCAACAAAATGTTTCAGAAATTAGCACAACTACGTTTGGGCGACTTTCGGCCTCTGCAGCACTCACATGCACAAAAATTGATGATTTGAGAAGAGAAATGTCAGACCTTTTGCTGGATTTTGGATGCGAGGCGATCAAACGACTCAAACGACACAAGCCGACGGCTTCACATCATCTGCTCTCTTTCGGGGACCATCCTTTTGCTGGATTTTGGATGCGAGGCGATCAAACGACTCAAACGAAACAAGCGGACGGCGTCCCATCAGCTGCTCTCTTTCGGGGACCATCCGTTTGTCAGTAGGCAGTGCTATCTCTTTCTAGCGCTTGCCTCTACGAGAGCCGAGAGAGCGGGGATGGTCCTCACCCTAGAGGACGACGCCACATTATTATCTACAAATTGCAGGGATATTTGGAGTGCAATAGGGTCTGGGTTATTCGACTGTCGTCGCCCTAGGTGAAAGGGATATTCGAAGGCTTACAACATGGCTCCTATAGCTGGTTCCCTTCAGGCTCTATATTCTATAATATCTATTTATCTATCTATATCTATCTATATCTATCTATCTATCCCTCCATTGGTGGCCGCTTGTCTGGGACACATTCATGCCGTTTTGGCAGCAACTTTGCAGAATGCAGGCAAATGAATCTTTACTGGAAACTGACACACATTACGCATACGCAACGGGGCACGGGGCTGAGCTTAAGCCGCCCAAACTTGTTTGTTTGCCTGCGGGGCAGCAATGAATCCTGGCCGGGCAACTTGTTGGCAACATTTAAAGGAGAGCGAAACTTGCAAGTTGAAAAAGTTTTTCAATTTGGCCCGCTGTGCCCCATGCCCCATGCCCCATCCGGGCCAGGTCTCAAGTTTTGCGCTTGTTAATTTGCCACTAAAAAGTGCATTGGCCACATTTGAGTTATTCCAGGAGATTGCTTGTCTGTCGCCCCCGCAACCACCGCAACCCGCTGCTCATTTGGCTTTAATTAAATGCTTTAATAGCTAAGCAGAGACGACAGTTTCGACGACAGGCCGCTTAGCAGGAAGGCGCCCCACCCCTAGGGCAGGGGGGAGGGTGGCCCTTCGTGTCCCTGTGTGAGGGGGGGGGGGGGGGGGGAGGAAGAAAAATGGTGGCAGTTATAATAAAAATAAAACTATTCGTAGTGTTTATTTAAGTTTAGAAATTGTACAAATTTTCGTAAATTGTTTTGTGCTTTGCCACGCTTGTTACAGGCTCCGAAAAGGAACCAAAGTTTTCCCAGCCATCGCCTAGGTATTGTTATCCCCCCCCCCCCCCCACACACCAGCACCCCCCACCCCCGTGTGTGTGTGCCACCCCCAAATCCCCCCCTTGTTCGTGCAGAGTTTTCCTTCCTTCTGGTGTTTTTTTTGTGCCGTT